TGTTTCTTTTACCTTGAAAAATAATCATCGAAATATATCTAGTCCTGGCCCACTTATGTCATAGCTCAAATATGTTTCTTTTACCTTGAAAAATACTCAATCATCGAAATATATCTAGTCTTGCTTCACTTATGTCATAGCTCAGGCGACATCATAATCGATTGGTTAGAACACAATGCTGCAATCGGGGAGGGGCCAGTATATAAAAGGACTCACTCTCCAAGACAGCATAGGCATTGCAGAAGAGCTTGAGTGAAGACATCAGAACATACTTCTGTGGGGAGGTTCATTTCAGAGATTCAGCATCCATCCACCAGTTAGGTGAGCGATTCCAGTTCACATCAGTCAAAGCACATAAGAAGAAGCAAGACTGGCTGCCAAGGGTTACAAGGTAATGGGAGATGCAAGTAGTTGGGGCATATAGATCAAGTAACTGGGTGGGGTCTCCAAAGACAAGGTTTACAGGTAGAACTCTCCAAGTAAGATTATTTATTTACTATTCATGTATTAATTGTTTTTTCCAAAGGGAATTGGCCATATAAACAAATTTTAAATAAAATAAGAAGTAGAGGGTAAAGGTATAAAGGTACTAAGCAAATAACTTGATCCACAAGTAAGGCAGAGATTCGGGTCCTGGGTCTCAGCAAAGGAGAATATTTAAACCAGGGGGTAGAAGGCTTCGTAGGTGATTATGGACCTGGACTTCAAAAGGGAAGTGGTGTTTGCCTGGGTGGAGATAAAGTAACCAGCACTTCATGTAGAGGGAGAGCACTTGTTCCAACAGTGAGGCCTGAGCAAAGCGCCAGAAGCAAAGATAACGCGTTGGGAGAAGCCATGGGAGATGGATAAGACTTGAGAGGGGGTGGCCAATAACAAGGTATACAGAATCTTAAATGCCTGCCTGCCAAAGAGCTGTTCTGGGGTCCTTTGCAATCGCTCAGCACTTAAAGGTTCTGAATAATGCAAATCTTAATCAAAGAGAAGTCTTAGAAAAGTATGCTGGATATAGAATAGATTATATGTTTCCATGTGACAGAACATGAATGCCTAGGTATGGGAAGAGGGGCAGGGATGGGTGTTACAGGGGAGTAAGGGTTGACAGGTTACTGTGATGAAAGGAGTTTGTGATGTCACAATATTAGCAGCAGAGACTGACTGGGGACAGTTGAGGATGAGGGAAAAAAAGGAGAGGAAAAGAGACTTGGAGAATCCCTTAGTTAAAATAGGCTTGTATAGTAGCACTTCTGCTCTTAGAGAAGTTGTTCAGGGGGAGGCACACATGCTCTGACATTATTTCTCACATGTCATCACAAAGTTCTCCTTAACAGGCTAAAGGGATCAATGTGAAAGAGACATCATCCATGTAAATTATGCCTCCATTATGAGGCATTCTGAGGCCTCCAAAGTAAGGTTTCCCATTGGTGGAATGTGAGCCAATGGCAGCGCTTCTACTACATCAAGCCAATGTGCTTGAATCCCACTGCAATGCCTAATGCAGTACCAAGGGATTTGGCCATTGAAAGAAAGGTGTCCCCAGAAGGTAGTGGTCTCACAAATAACACCTCCAACATCATACACTGCACCATAGACTAGGGAAAGGACCTGAGATGTTCTTTAAAACTCACACATCTATTAATACATTAATATTCCCATTTCAGGGAAAAAAAGGCTATCAAGAGAGATGGTAAGTTGAAAAGAAAGTTCTGTGTTATTATTTTTTTGTTTCTCTTTTGTAAGAATCTTTTTGGTTTCTGTCTTGTACTCTGAGTAACTATTTTGAAGATAATGCTGCCTAGTGTATGAACTCTTATGGTCCTCTCATTATTTTCTTAGGAAATTTTGTTTTGCTTTTTCACAAAATAAAAAAACAGATACTGTAAACCAAGAAAGAAAGAGAGAAGGCAACAGGGAGGTAGACTCTGGAGATGGTAAAGGAATCTGGGAAAGAAAAGGGGAGGGAGGAAAAAGGAGTAAATATAATCAAGATGCCATATGTGTGTGTACCATTTCTGAAAGATGAATGTAATTATTACGTATCACAACCACACACTAATAAGAAACAAAAAAATAAAGAAAAAGTTAATCTCTAATTGGCTGAAGGGACTCATATGAGGGAGGAGCCATGCCATCTCCATTGTGAGGCCTTGATGGACCCCTTCACTATGTTTTCTCATTGATAGAGGCTGACCAATGACGGCCCTCCTACATAATGATGATCTATGTGCCAGGAGTCAGTGTACCCAACACCTGCCACTTCAGTTCTCTAAATTACAGAGTTGAACCATTAAAAGAAACAAAAGTGGTCTCAGAAAGTAGTATTTCCCTCATTACACCTGCACAACAATACCCTGCACCATACCATTGGTGGAAAGTGGGCAATGCCTGTCTCTCTACTAAAACAAGGTCACTGTATGACCATCTACTGTGCTCAATTCTCACCTCAAAATCCCAAATCATACAACACTACCACAAAAAGTGATAGAGTGGTCCCAGTAGGTAATGCTCTCTCTGTGACATCTTCACACACTTCACCTTCCCTGAGGGACAGCATTTAGAGTACCTATAGACATATAAGTATGCATATAGGCTACCTATATATTACCATTCAAATTTCAGTTTTTCTCAAAGCCTTGGGGACATGATGCCTCACTCTAGTCAAGGTTTGCCATTGGTGGAAGAGGAGCCAATGGCTGCCCTCTTCTGTGATAACATCATCTGCCTCTGCATCCAGTGTGCTTGTTTAATATCATAGAACTCTAGATCATAGGGTGTGACCATTAAGACAAATAGCACTAGTTATAGACAGTATTATTTCCCACATTACACCTAAACACCCAGTCTCTGCACTCCACTCCAGGGAAGACCGGACAGTTGCAGCAGTCATTCTTGGTGTGATTACTCACATTTTTGCACAAGGTGCTCTCTGTGCGTCTGAGGGGACCCTTATCATGATGAAGCCATGATATATCTCCACTGTGAATCATTGATGGCCTCTCTACTGAAGTTTCTCATTGATGAGACCTGTCCAATTGCTGTTTTCCCACTAAATCAAGGCCTCTCTGTGACTAGCCAGTTCTCACTCCAGAATCTCAAGTCACAGAGTTAGATGATTAAAATATATTTCAGTGGCCTCAGAAATTAATGTCTCCTTTATAACCTCTGCCCCCCTCCACGTACTTCACCCTCCCCAGGTAAAGGACTTTATGACCTTGCAGATCCCATTAGTTCTATTACGATACTATTGATAATACATTAGCAGTGCACAATTCTCGCTAAGTGGTTATCAGGATACCTGAGGTGGAGGAGACATGAAGCTCCTGTTTTGAAGCAGTAGGGGCCCCTTGAAGTTTCCCAGTGTTCAAAGGAGCCCAATGGCTGCCCTGCTTCTGAAACACAGCCTCTGTATCAGCAGCCAGTGTGCTCATTTATCATTTCAAAATTCCAGGTCATAAATTCAAGTCAATGAGAGGAACAGGGGTCTTGGAATTTAGTGCTTCCCTGTGACACCTTCACACTCAAAGACTACACTCTACCTAGTGAAATGAGATGAGAAGTCTGTCCAAGTCATACCAGATACTGCTCTTCACACCTATACCTATACACAAGTTGTTCTCAGAGCTAGTGAAGGGACACTTAGGAGGGAGAGGCCATGATAACTCCAATGTGAGACTGATTTCTTCTCCACTAAGATTTCCCATGGGTAGGAAAGCCACTGTGTTTGAGTCTCACCCCAGTGCCACATTTCATAGACTCAGGTAGCCGAGGAAGGTTTAGCCCTTCCCCACATTTCCATTTCAGCATAGTGCTTCCTGGCCTGTAGAAGGAGTTCATTGGGTTGCAGAAGTCATCTCTGAGGGCATCACTCACATATCTGACCAAGGCCCTTTGTAATGGCTGAAGGACCCTTAGGCATAAGTGCCACAATGTTTTATGGTGGTGAGTGGCCTCTTAATCTATAGATTCCCATTGGTGGAATCTGAGCCAATGGCTGACCTCCAACTTGATAATAGTCTTCTGTCTCTGCCAACCACGGGTGGGGTTTGTGTCAGATCTAAAGGTGAAAAGGTCTCTCTCCCATTACCATTCTCTTGAGTATATGAAAAGCCTATATGGGTTTTTATGAAGAGATTATTTAAAAGCTCATAGTCTTAAGGTGTATGAAGTGCAGAATGTCACTGAGGGTTTGTGGAATAGGATAGAATTATTACACAAAGTGAGAAAGATATTTTAAAATTGCTCAGTCTAATTATATGTACATGTATATAATATTTGATATATAATTTACATATTCTACAAATATATAAGTTGATTAATAATGGCTTTGCCAGTTATAAAACATATGGGCCTTTTCCTGACCCCATTTGAATCTTTTGAAACTCATCTTAATTCGCTTTGGGGTATATATGAATTGGGCTATGGTTGCTATGGAGATCTCAAAGCTCATCCAAACTTCTCTGTGGTTATATCTGAAATTATGTCTTTGGGGAGATTCAAATTATGAGAATGAGGGCTGTGGGTGTCTGCCTCTCAAGGTGCCACTTGTTATCAGCTACCATCATCTACTAAACTAGAAAGATTCATAGATTCCCAAACGTAATAGATGATTACATTTCATAGTAGATCTTTTATCCTGTCAACCATTCTGAATAACACACCAAATTAATTTGGGGGCATAAATGGATGTGCTTTTCGGGAGAATTTGGCTCTATTTTCAGCTGTGAATTATGCATTAGTAAGAATTATTTGGACAGCATTCATCATCATTTCCGAAGTTAATGAAATTCCATTACACTTTGGTACATTTTCATTTCATCCAGTGGTAAATTAATTCTCCCTTACTCTTTCCCTCTGCCTCTGTCTCTCGCTTCCCTTTTGCATCATTTACCATAGTTATTTAGTGGGAACATAGAGAGGCTTCATAGCTACAATAAGTTAAATAAGGGCCAGGAAAGGCAGATGTTACTGTTTCTGTCTATAATGATGCTGTGCCCTATGACCCAATGCCAAGATAAGCATAGAAGGCTCCTTGTTTTCTCATTCATTCCACTAACCCAGAGTTAAGGGCAGGGCTGGGTTGGAGCTGGGCACCTACTTATCTGGGCTACAACTTGGAAGTCTGGCCCCTCATCTTTGTGACACACTGCTCACACCTGTGAGCTGTCAGCAGAGCCATAGCACGGGCCACCCAGCCACTTGCTGAATCAACTGCTTGATTTGGTAGGGAAAACTCCTTTGGCAAGTGTGGGGCCAACAGCACTGCAAAGTCCAGGTTTGCCCAACTGAGAAGCAAGCCTGTAACTCTCCTCAGTGCTGGACATTTCTGTTTATTATTAGCCTGGCCCCACCCTGCATTCAGACCTAGTCAAGGCCGGATCCTGCTCCCACAGGTCC